AACCCTTTTGACTAGAACGTCAAAAGTTTGATTTGTCTCAAAATATTGTATACATTCAAAGGTGGCTTATTGGGTAAAATTACTGAATTTAGTTACTTCGCGAATTCGATTTTTAAGTTAGAATGCCTTAGTTTTAAAAACGTGTGATTAAATTTCTTTGTGAGATGCAAATGCAAGCCAAGGATTTACTTGAGAATATATCTCTTTCTATATAAGTATCGTACTTTACAGTAATATATTACTGATAATTAATTTTTCTGTTCGAATAAGTTATTGTAGTGGACATAAAATGATACCTTGGGGATTTCTATATAATTTTCCTTTTCAAACTTAGAAATTGATCTGCCCCGTAAATATGTATGTACTTTCTTTGCCTTTTGAATTTGTTTGGAAATTTAAGGCATTCTCCATAAAACCACGAAAGGTGTTAAACTAATCACTGAACGTCAATTAGATATTTCACCTGAGCATTCAAAGAAAATTCATCTCAAGTTCATTCACCTGAGTATTCATCTCAAGTTATATGAATATAAATATCGTAATTAATCTGTACTCAATGAAGTTCTAATATGTTAAGCATCATCGGAATATCCATTAAATTCTTAACTGGTAGCAGATCGGTAAAGTTTTAAGATATGTCATGGATATTTGCATCAGAGTCCAAGATCATCTATGGAGACAAATTCATTTTATTTGATGTAAAGATCAGGAGACATACTTCTATATTTCTAAGCTTTTAATCAAAAATTTAGATTCGAAGTATATGCTGCGGATATAAATGTTGTCATCAAATTTACTTAAATTGTAGACGTGGCTTCGAATTTTAGTATTCAGTCATTATGTATATAACTGTATGAGTTAAAATTTTAATTACTTCAAAACAAGAAACCTTTCTATCTCTAAATTACTTTCCTTTTAGTTGCAATTGAGATAATATTCTAAATATAAAAACGCAGCTATGGTTGAATATATTACTATTGTTATTTCGTAACTTGTGTATTCATTCACAAGAAAATAAACAAAAAAATAATAAAGTTACTGCAGGTTCTTAACATGATTACATTAAAAATATCCTTTTCTGTTAATAGTTTACTAAAATTCAGGTGCTGCACATTAATAAAGTTTCTATATTACTGTTTGCGAATTTTGTAATTAGTTAGGCAATTTTAGTAGAATTACAGGTAAAATTGTTGTATTAAATTTTGTAACATGAAAAATATAAAGCGAAGCTATGCCGGAAAAGTGAGAATACCGGGGCGCATATTTCACAAGTGCACATCTGCATAGCCACCGAGGGAGTGGCTTTTAGGATGGACCAATGGGCATCCAGCAATATTTCTGTTATGTTACATGATCTTTCGCGTGCTTTAAGATTTAAACAAGATGGTTGAAAATATTCTGCCACGCAATTTTCTGTACAAAATAATTAAAGCATCGTCGATTTCTTCTGAAAATTTTCATTGCGAATTTAGATCAAATATAAGCAATTGCGAAGATTTTTCTACCTGGTTGAAATAAATACAAATACATGTTGGATACTTCGCAAAAATATCGATGTGAAATATTACTTAATAAGTGGTAAATAAGATGAAGAAAGAAATGTGATAAAGATCTGAGCCCAAATCCAATCTTTACATAATGCGTATGAGTAAACTATTTACACCAATTATATATGTAAATAGAAGTCAGCACTTTTTATTGCAGTCTGTATGAAAAAGATGTTCTATAATAATAACCAATGCAGAATTTTATTCACTAAATGTATTCGAATGCAAATTAGTAAAGTGAACTTTACTAATTTGCATTCGAATACATTTAGTGTGTTAAATTTCACATTTAATAACTGCTCACTCTTAAATGTACTGTCTACACAAGAAATACTCGTCAAATAGAGTGAATTTATCGTATTCACAACGCGTATATTCAATTTATTCACATATAATTTTTAATGTTAAACAATGGATATAATCAGATCATATATATTCTGAATCTTACACTTTAAAATCAAAAGAATGCTAGCACTGAAATAAGAAAAAACTAGATTCATTGTAACACTTTCAGTCATTCGCAGCTGAATTAAAAAAAATATACATTTGAATTCTCTTAATCCACATAATATGCAGTGAACTCATCCAATATTAATATGTGAAAACAATATACTAAAATAATGCTTGATAAAAATCCTGAAAATGAAATGTTAGCGATTAATCAAACCCAGAAAACAAAAGCACGACGAGATTTTTTATTGTATATATTATAATGCTATATATATTCCATATATTTATAACTTCGAAACAAATGCAAATTAAAATGTAAACAACATACGCTCACATGCACGAAGCTTTAGCGTCACAAGAGCAATAGCAGTTCATTGGTCCATTTTCGAAACCCCTCCCTCAGTAGCTACGCTGATGTGCACTTGTGAAATATGCTACCGGGGCAAGTGTACTTATCATTAAGTAAATGGATATCTCGATAACTTGGCGAGATATCGCCAAGCTGACGACGGTTTTGGCGACTTTTTTTGTCTGAAAATTTGACGAGAAGTCACTAAACGGCACCAAATTTGGAAATCATTTGACGACATTCTGGTCCGTCCCTGTGTCACAATAATATGTATTGAAACTGAATAAATGTGTTATGTTACCGTGTGTGTTACACAATGTTGGCTGTAACCGTAATTCCTTCCTCGTATTTCCTTCCAGTAATTTCGAAAAGCAGAAAGTACTAGAAATATTTCGGCGTCCGTGTGAAAGCTATTTAAGGCCGAAGAAAAGCACCTGCTCACAATTGCTTAGTTATTGTTGTTGGGAGTTGTTAGTTCTGCGTGAACTGAGATGTCCGAATTAGCTGTCTCTTTAGATGTGCTTTGCATTGTGTTGTGTTTAACGTTCTTAGTAGTTTGAAGAGTAACTATTGAATATACAGTGTGATACCACGAGCACTTGCATGAATATTTCTGTGGAAAGTTCCGGGGCTTTGAAGTGTTTATTTTGATAAATAAAAATTTTATTAACCAGTCATCGGACCTGTGTGCATTCCATATACACTGATCTCCATATACACTGATCATTCCATATACACTGATCACTGAAGTTAGAGAACAGCATGTTTTTTTGTATAATTTGAGAATAAAGCAACATAGAAACAATAAATTTGCAGGACATGTTCACTAAATAGTTAAGAATGCGAAATAGAATGTTTCTAAAGTTCAACACAAACAGGAATTGCAACAAAAAATAGCACTCTTGGCAGAGAATTCCAATCTTGAATACACAGTATATCACAGTTTTTTGAGAAAAAATGGGGTGGTAACATTACAAAAATCAATGTATTACCTCTACCTGTAATAAATTTACAGCAGTGATGTTCTATGCTGTCAATTAAGTCAGTTGTCGGTTAGTGAAATGAAAAGCAACGACCAGACACTGAGCCTTGTTCAAGCTTATCTAATGACCTTGGAGGAGGACTTAGAACAGCAACCTGTTTTCCAAGGTAGTCCCAAAGATGCTTTATTGCATTCAGGTCTAGGGATTGAGTTGGCCACTGCATACGCTCCATATCGTGACCCTCAAGATAATCTTTAGCAACACGAGCTCGGTGCGGTCGCGCGACATTAGAAATACAGGACCAATAGCAGCGGCATATGGGCGAACATATTGATCAAGGATCTCGTCTCGATATCTTGCACTGGTCAAAGTTCCTTCATGGAACACATGCAGGTCAGTGTGACCACCGAGAGAAACCCCATCCCAAACCATTATTCCACCACCTCTGTAACTGGGTCGTTCCAAAATGTGAGATTAGTTCTATCTGGTGTGTTGTTTCCTCCAGATCAGCTGATGACTTGAATCACTCTCCAATGTGAATCTGCACTCGTCCGTGAAGAGAACAGGCGCCCATTATTGACTGGTCTAGGATACGTGCTCTCTTGCACAACATAGACGGGCACCTCTGTGTGTTCTAGTCAAGAGGATGCAAACAACTGGTCGTCTTGCATACAGACTTGTATTGTGCAGGCGTCTGCGCATATATTTTCTTAAACTTCGTTACTGCTATGCATATGAACTGGGAATCTAAACGTTACTGACATTTTTGTGATGGTGAGCTTTAAAAAACATTGTGTTCCTTAAATTTTGAAGGGCAGTGTATTACGATCCTCTACGCACACAACATTGCTCTATTCTAAAATAGTAAATATCTTCAAATAACTTTCGGTATATGAATTTCAGTAAATTATTTTTTGTGGGCTATTAAATATTTGTAACTGTCAGACGTTTGTTATTATATTTTGAAATGTATACTTAAAGGAATAACATTATTTGAACACAATATTTTCTCTGTACATATATGAATATATTCACTTCAAATCCGTTTTTGCATATTAATGTAATACACATTCTAGAAGATTTCTGAATTTATCCTTTTTTAAAAGGATAACAATTATTTTTTTTATAAAATATGAATAAACGTGTATTTTTAAAATTATTTTTTCATACTATTTTTAAAGCAAATCTTCATGGGATATATCTTCGATTATCCTAAAATACGAGGTAAATGGAATGTATTACAAATGCAGAGAGTCTTGATATGCAACACTGAAAGAATATTATTGATATATTGGCTAAAATTAATAATTACCTTATCGAATTAAATGTTAATTTTTATTATTAAAATAATGATACTTCTCCATTCAATTCAATTATTGTTGCGATGTAAATGTGAAGGAACTCAAAACACGTCCTCGTTTAAACATGAAACTTATATTAAATAACTGCACAATACAAGTATAAACAAGAAAATAACATAACACTTATAAGTACGAGAACAGAACAAAATAGTGAAGAATAGACAGCATAGCAGCTGCCTTGCGAATGCGTTCGTCCGAGTCTGACAGTTCAACTGAATTAAATGTTCTTTGGCATAGTTCCAAAAGCGAAAGAGTTAGGTTGAGTTGTTCTGTTCCGGCGCACCGGAACATACTCCCACCCTATCAGGCATTAGTCCTGATACATGGGCAAAGGTGCTAATTTATGAATGTTTCTTTTAAAAATAGAGCTTTTAGTTTTAACCGTGGCCACACGAACTAGTCCGTCAGTACCATGATGAAGTTCGACCACTTGTCCTAGTGGCCAAGAACCTGGAAGATGACCATCATCTAGTAACAGGACGATGTCTCCAATTTTCATATTCGGCTGAGTGTTCTTCCATTTCTTTCTGGTTTGAAGAGAAGATAGATATGCTTTGGTCCATGATTTGCAGAAGTCCTTGCGCATCTTTTGAAGGAGATCCCACCTATTCCGTATATTAGCAGGACTAGTAAGAGGTAGTTCAGGAGGGGATAGGATCACGTCTCCTGTAAGAAAATGTGAAGGAGTGAGAATATTAATGCAATCAATGTCAGTATTGTTTACACTACATAACGGACGAGAATTTAAAATGGCTTCTATCTGAGCCAATAGAGTTGTCAATTCTTCGAAAGTAAGTAGCGTTTCACCTATTACTCTTTTACAGTGATATTTGGTTGATTTAATTGCGGCCTCCCAAATTCCTCCGAAATGAGGAGATGCTGGAGGTATAAAGTGCCATTCTATTGATGCTTGAGTTAAATGATGAGCAACGGCTTCGTTCTTAGGAAGTGAAGCCCACAATCGTTGTATTTCGCTGAGCTTTTCGATTAGCCCCAACGAAGTTTGTTGCATTGTCGCTGTAAATGTGACTTGGAGCTCCTCGTCTAGCACTGAAGCGACGCAAAGCAGCTAAAAATGCATCAGCGGTTAAATCGCTGACTGCCTCGATGTGTAGTGCCTTAGTAGCGAGACAAATAAATAGAGCAATGTAACCCTTGGTTGATTTTGCTCCACGACCCTTGTTGAATTTGATTGAAATAGGACCGGCATAGTCCACTCCGCAGTTGAAGAAAGGCCTCTCGAGTGTTACACGATGCTTAGGTAGATTACCCATAAGCTGAGATGCGGTGGATGCTTTAAATTTGAAGCATTTGATGCATTTGTGAACACATTTATTAATGAGCTTTTTTCCACCTATGATCCAATATGATTGTTTGATAATGTGGGACAGTAATGAAGCACCAGCATGTAAATAAGTCACATGCTTTTCTTTTACGATGAGCTCACTTATCTTGTGTTTAGCAGGTAGAATCACTGGGTGCTTTTGATTAAAAGACAATTCTGAATTTTGTAAACGCCCTCCCACCCGTAAAAGACTGTTTTCATCTATAAACGGATGGAGGGAGTGTAGCTGACTTTTCTTAGGCAACGATCTTTGATTTTTAATGCATTTTAGGTCTTCATTAAAATAATCTTTCTGAACCCATCAAATTATGATTATTTCTGCATTTTTAGTTTCCGTGTAAGTGAGTGGAGAAAAGGAATCAGTTATAAGTGTTTGACATTTGTTATTGGTTTTGCACTTATTGATGAATCTTAAACAATATGCTAAAATGCGTATAATCTTAGAAAATGATGAATATTTTTTCAAATAAATCACTATATAATTCATTTGATGTAGCACTATGAAATGAAAATATAGGATCAGATCTTTGTTCAGCTTTAATTAGATCCTTGATTTCTTTGGAAGCGGATTCCTCTTTCGGCCAGTGAGACGAATCCAAAAAAAGCCAACTTGGGCCATTCCACCACAAGTTGCAATTAGGAAGACATTTGGGATCAATACCACGCGAAGCGATATCTGCTGGGTTCTCTTTGGAAGGGACATGCCTCCAGTATTTTGTTGGAAGTACTTCGATTATTTGAGACGTCCGGTTTGCAACAAAAGTCTTCCATTTACGGGGATGTGCCGAAGAGCCAGGAAAGTACGACTTTGGAGTCAGTCCAAGCGTAAACATCAAACTTATATTTTTTGAGAGTGTTCATGACTGCACGATATAACTTTGAAAGCAAATGAGCACTGCATAGTTCCAATTTAGGAACAGATACTTGTTTGATAGGTGCGACTTTAGTTTTAGAAACTAAGAGAGAAACCTTTATTTCATTTCCGTGTATTTGTTTGCAATATATTGCAGCAGCGTAAGCAAGTGTTGAACGCGTCGCAAAAGCCGTGCAATTCAAATGTGTCAGAGGAAATAAGCGTGACACCTCTAGGAACGGTAAAATGTTCAACTGCATTGAAAGATTTCTGAAATTTAAACAAATCTTCAGCAAGACTTTGTGGAATAGGAGAATCCCAGTCCCCTTTTGTAAGCCAGAGCTTTTGATAAAAAATTTTCAATACAACAGTACATGGTGAAATTAATCCTAATGGATCGAAAATGCGTGCCGATTGGGACAAAATGTGTCTTTTTGTCAGCGGTGAGGTGAGTGCAAGTGCGGGTTTTTGAAAATGAATGTGTCTGTTGAAGAGTTCCAAAATAATCCTAAGACTTTCGTGCTTTCCTTATCATTAGGAATTATTTCTAAATTAGTGTCCGTTGAACAATGTTCTTGAAATTCTGCAAGAAATGCATTTGAATTAGAATTCCACTTTCGTAGGTGGAAACCGTGTGTTTGTAAAATATTGGTAATTTCCTTACAAAGTGATATTGCATCACTATCGGTACTTGAACCCGATAGCAAATCATCCATGTATACATCGTGTAGTAAAGTATGAGAAACAGCACTATTTTGTGAATAATCTAGTGCAATTTGCTTAATGCACCTAGTGGCTAGGAAAGAAGCTGGAGCTAAACCATATGTTACGGTGTTTAACTTGTATGTGCGTATTTCTTCGTTAGGATTAAACCTCCAAAGAATTTGTTGGTAGTTCCGATCCTCATCGGACACTAAAACTTGACGGTACATTTTCTCTATGTCTGCTGAAAAGACTATTTCCGGAAATCGAAAATTAAGTAAAATTTCGAAAATGTCTCGTTGCAATTTAGGACCAACACCCAAGATAGAATTCAATGATTTACCGTTGGAAGTTTTACATGAAGCGTCGAAAACGACTCTTAATTTGGTAGTTGTACTAGACGGCTTGATCACTGCATGATGGGGAAGGAAATATTGCTCATTCTGAAATCTATTTAAACAGTTTTGTGTGAACCAATTCCATATGACCTAAATTTTCATATTCATGCATAAAATCCTTGTATTGGTTTTCAAATTCCGAGTTTTCCTTAAATTTACGTTCCATAGCATATAATCGAGAAAGTGCAGCTGGTTTTGAATTACCTAATTCAGATTTAGATTTTAAAATGGCAACTTCACCACAAAACGACCATCTGAATTAATTGAGTAATTTTCCCGAAAATGTGTTTCAACAAATTGTTCTTCAGGTGAGAATACAGTGTCAGTTGAATTTGGCACTTCTTCTAACTCCCAAAACCTTTTCAATTCGCTGTCAATATTTATTTCATAAATATGCAATGTTTGAAAGTGAATTTGATTTCGTTTGAGATTCCGGTAGTTTTCCGGATATGAGGAAACCAAAAATTGAGTTTTGAGCAATTAAATCACTTTGAGAACAAGTTATTTGTCCAGGAAGTAAAATAGAAAATAAGTAGTCAGATCCTAGAATAATATCTATCTTATCCGGAATGTGAAAATATGGATCAGCTAACTTTACATTTTTCAAATGCGAAAAGTCTTTCTCATTTATTTTTTTGGCTTGGAAGCGCAGCAGTTAGTTTATCTAATACAAATGCCTTAATTGGCATTCTCACTGATGCATCATGGATTGACATCAACTCGATTTCAACGCAACCTTTTGTAACTGCGACTTCTGACTCAGCTAAACCCTTGACAGAAAAACACGCATTTTTCCTTTTAAATCCCAATAAATTAATACAAGATTCAGATAATAATGTTGATTCGGAACCACTATCACAAAGCATTCTAATATTATTTTTTGACCCATCGAATCAATTACATTTACATATGCAGTTGGCAATAAGCCAAAAGTTGTTTGAACGCTATTATTTTGAATTACAGTTCCGTTTTTTGTTTCATTCGTAGACGCAATGTTTGGTATTTCATTCGCGGTTGGATTCTTTCTTTGCTGTTCTGACTGAAAACTGCTCTCAGAAAGAGACGCAGATGTGGAATAACTTTTTAACTGATTTTCACACAGAGTACTATGATGCAATAACTGGCAATAATGACAACGATGTTGAGACATACATTCAGATTTTTTGTGCTGACTAGACAAACAATTTAAACAAAGATTATTTTTCCTAACAAATTGAATTCTTTTTTTGACAGTTAGTGCTTTAAATTTGGGGCATTTGAAAAGAAAATGATCTGATTTACAAATAATACATTTGATACATTTGTTAACAGAAAATCTTTTAACACTAGGTTGAGTTTTTTCTCTTTCTTTTTCCTGGAAAATTTCTAAAGAGGAACATCTATCATTTATAAATTGAATAAACATTTCAAAAGTAGGAAATTCCACTTTTGCTGAAAATTCAGACCACCGTTTACATGTTTCGTTGTCAACCTTCTGTAATAAAATATAAATTAGCCAGACATCCCTTTCACTAGCTTTTGGATCAATAGATTTTAAACCTCTGATAATCTCATCAGAAGTATCGGCAATTTTTCGCAAATTAATTGAGTTTGCATTAATTACACAAGATTGTTCCATGAAAGTTTTTATTAGTGATGTGACAATTTGTTTTTTTTCTTATCATACCTAGATAATAATTTTCCCCAGGCTTCCATATAACTATTTTCTGAAATGGGAATATGTTTAATAATAGAAGCCGGTTCATCAGTTAATAAACCCTTTAGATATTGAAATTTTTGAATGTTGCTTAAATTTTCATTGTTATGCACTAATGATACATATAAGTCCTTGAAAGACATCCAATTTCTGTAATTACCGTCAAAAGACTGCATATTTATTCTCGGTAATTTAAAATTATTAGCAGTATTTGTAGTACTATAAACCTGGCATTTGACGTTCATTAACATTAGTAACTTGCATATTAACAGTAACATTTAATTTCTCAAGTTCTTGTTGTAGTTTGGCTTTGGTTTCATAATATTTTTTCTCAAATTCTTCCATTTCAGAACTTTCCGGCGGAAGTTCTGCGTCTGCCTTGTCAAAATCAGAATAAACGCTTTCAATTTTTTGAAGTTTATTCATTAAATCGTATTTTTCGAATAACTGCTTATCATCATTAATGAAATTTGAAATTCTGGTAAGAGCAGCTTTCGCTCTACCTCTACTATTTTTTGCAATCTTAACCTTGTCTTCCATTACGACGTAATGGTGCAATGAGGAAAACCAAAGTCAAACTTGTAAAAAAAGAAAAAAAATACTTATCTTGCTTGGTCTTTAAATGAAGTTCGATGCTAAACGTATCCAGTAGTATCCATTACTGTACCGAATGCAGCGTTGCAGTGCTGACGAAACCGAAATCAAAAGTCCTTTAATCTCGCCGGTGCCTCCAAAATATTATGTTGCGATGTAAATGTGAAGGAACTCAAAACACGTCCTCGTTTTAAACATGAAACTTATATTAAATAACTGCACAATACAAGTATAAACAAGAAAATAACATATAACACTTATAAGTACGAGAACAGAACAAAATAGTGAAGAATAGACAGCATAGCAGCTGCCTTGCGAAGGCGTTCGTCCGAGTCTGACTGTTGGTGTTATCTTCTTTCGTTTCAATCAAGGTGAGAGTTAGTTGTTCAGATTTCTTAGAACATAGAATAACATTTATAACGTA